CTCAAAAACTTCCAGTATTTTCTGCCTGCCACCCAGGACTATTTCTACCACAAACTCAAAAACTTCCAGTATTTTCTGCCTGCCACCCAGGACTACTTCTACCACAAACTCAAAAGCTTCCAGTATTTTCTGCCTGCCACTCAGGACTATGTTTTGTACAAGGAGTCACTTTATATACAGCACTCCCAATATATTCATTCATTTACAATCCCACTTACCTGCTCATATCTTGGTCTATCTCTTCCATCACTGAAGACTTTTGGGGTAATGCACCTTTAAAATATAAAATTTAATCTTATTACTTTGTAACTTTAATTTTTGTATTTTGTACCATATTTTCTGTCGTTAAGTTTAATTTAAACAGAGCCCCATTCAGACCAGCTTTGTGAACTGGGCACATCTGTATAAATATTGTTCATAAAGCAATCAATCAATCAATCAATAACCAACAATTCGTGGTTAGGCAGTGTCTCGGAAAACAATTAATTGCTGGCCAATACCAAATCACAATATTTTGCTCAACGTTGTCTAATAATTCCTTATTGTTCGGGCTGTGAATATATTACAATTTGCAGCATGCTACTCAGTCCGACACCAGAGAAAAACGTTTGCGCATGCGCGCATTTCAGCACGCTAAGAATTTTGAAGAGTTTGAGTGAGAAAATAGATGTTTGTTTTCGACAACTATACAAAACATTTCGCGCGTATACTTTTGTTGGACCAAGATACTGTATTAGCAAACACGATATGAAAGAATTACCCTTAAGTTTCAGTCATGGACACCACGTTTTGGCATTTCGTGAAGTCCAATTTATCCGGCATGTTTGAAAGTCAAACTTACATATGTTTTGAGTAATTTGCACACGGATTCAAAGCATGCGCAGACGTTTTTTACTTGTGTCATTCAGTCCCTGATTTCATATCTCTGACCGACAACGTTTTCTGAAATAGGTGTGTTACCACATAATCTAGGTATGATGAGGTATCCTACGAAAAAGAAAGAGGGCTCTGGAATAATCCATGTTTTGGCGCATGCGCAATTTTCGAAAAGTGATACATAACCGATCAAAATAATCAAAGTAAAAATTAAATCAAACCAAAAATCAAAGTAAAAATCAAAGTAAAGATCATATTAAAAATTAGAAATCGGGAAAATATTTTTTTCATTTTTGGCAAGTCTTTGAACGCATGCGCTGTTATACCGGAAGTCCAAGAAATCCTGGTCTCGAAAAATGGATTACGCCACAGCCCTTGTTCTTCGCCGCTGGTCAGAAGAAATGCAGGCTCTGGGTACAAGATTAAAGCTGACTCAGCTTTTATCTTCACTCCCTGTACATACCTATGCTTTCATTGGCTCCATCGTGTTTGGCCAAAGCCATTAAAAAACCATAAAAAGTCACCCTTTCTACTGATGATAGAATACTCTTGATAACTGACACTGGAGGACACCTAACATTTAAATAGGGAATACAATGTTACCAATGTTAGCAGAATGTTACCATTATTGGTAGATCTGCAAAAACAGGTTATCAAAAGATTTGACAGTCGATTATGGGCTTTATATGCTTGTAATAATACTGTATGAATAAAACGGAAATAATAAATAAATGAGATTTAACACTGGTATTGGTGGGTGGGTGGGGGGGTGGGTGGAATGGTGGTTGGAATGGTGGGTGGAATGCGGATGGAGGGGTGGATGGGTTTGATGGGTAGACAGGTGGATGGGTGGCATGTGGACAGGTGGACGGGTGGATGGGTAGACGGGTGGACAGGTGAAAAGATTGACAGATGTCATAATACCAATCATAAGCATTGTAATGACAGTGGTTTCACAGAGTCGCTTATCTTCACTGGATTCCAATTGGAATATAAACATTGATGTTTCCGGAAGGGAGAAAAACTGAAGAACCTTGAGAAAAATCCTCAAACCAAAAAGTAGCTCTACTTACAATGTATACAAAGCAGAGTCTGCACATCGTATCAACTTTAAGATATGTTTTATAGGCCATAAGTTAGATTAAATTACTATTGTTTTTAAAAATAGTATTATTTTAAGGAGGATATGAACATATTTAAATGGAATATGCACCATACAAATAAAATGCATTAATGTAATGTATTAATGTATATCAAACTTGGGTCGCCTTGGTAATAGGCAAGTGTAGACACCACTAAAATACACCTAAACCTCGTGTGAAATGGTAAACTTTACTTCATGTTTGACGTACACAAAACCTATCGAGTACGACTAAATCTCCCAGTAACCCCTTGCGGGGAGTGGGTCTCCACAGGGAGTCCAAAGTCCACTACACAAGTATTCTCACTGCTATGCCACCCATGCTTCCCCATGCTTACTTGAAAATGTGCTCATGTGTATGAAGAATCTGTAAAGCAGCATCCATAAACGTATGTACATCAACTCCATCAGTAAGATTACTCTGAGGATTGTCTTTGGCTTGCGTGGATTGTTGTTCCTTAAGTTGTGGTCTGTCTAATGTTGGTACCACTACAACCTGACCTGGACGATGATTACCAGCTTGAATCATCTGGTAGGCTTTGTGAAGTTCTTCAAAGAATTCTGTAAGCATAAACATAAGACATGAATGATTCTCTCTTGACCCAAGGCATGAACGACACTAGTGCAATCCTTACTTATCTAGAGCTAATTTCAAAAAATCCCAACGTAATTCTATAAGATAACTGTTATAATTCTAACGTCCTAATTGGTTGGGAGCATGCCCATGCACTTTCAGTTGCATCATTCCTAGTTTTGCTATTTGTATTTTTTTGTAATTGTATACATGTATAGATCTGTACCGAGTGACAAAAACACATTTCGGAAATGGAAAATTTCGCTTGCCATGCTGTGTGCAGCTATCATAAAGGGTGGAGTATTGCCAGAACACTTGAGAAGTGTCGCAGCACTCTACTATGTGTCATGATTGTCCAAACACTTCTCTCGTGTTCTGCCAATCCCCACATGCTTTGTAATTGCTCAGCACACAGCATGCGCCATGTGTTCTTTATTTCTTCAACATGCTACATGGTACAGCTGCTTGGAACATCAGTGGACCAAGCGTATAGAGACGGACACAGTCCAAAACTGAGTTCAACAGGGTGATCCATCAACAGTTCACCCTGGCTCTTAGTTGACTAAGTCAAACGTACTGTACTGTACTAGAAAGTGAGATGATAGAAAAGGAATGAGTTAAATATTACACCTAATTGAAAAATTGCTGTCAGGTTCAAAAAAAGTCATATCATCAAAGCTAAGACCGAAGGGGAGCATACGAAGACAAACAATTATACTAATTTCATGCGTATTGCAGTTTTCCCTTCCTGTGCACATTTTATGCATCATGGCTTTGGCATGCTGTTAATCTAGGTCGACCAAGTTTGCCCTACTGTGCTTTTTTACATGTCTATATGCTAATATAATACTTATTTCAGAGTACACCCAAAACCCTTTTCAGTCTTAGCTTTGATGATATGACCTTCTCGAACCCGACTACGTTTTTTCAATTAGGTGTATACTAAACCTATATACCTTCATAATAAAACTGAATCTCAAAAGCATAAAGAAAGTCAACAAATGACATCAAACAATCCATTGCATCCTCCATTAAAATGATCTTTGCTGCCTTCTGTATTGGCTCAAATGGGAAGTCAGGACATAATAAACAGATGAGAGAATGATATTCTGCTGCTGTCAAAAGGTCTCCATTTTTACCAATGTGTCTGAAGGCCTTCCAGAATACCCTGATAAAACATGATCTGTTGAATGGTGTGGATCTGATGAAGGAATACCCTCTGAATAATGTATGGTTGCCTTGGACAACACTCCTGAAGCTAATACAAAAAATATTCAATTATTATTATAATCATATCTGGGGTTGGGTTTTTGGTGTTATAGAGAGTTTTAGATTTACGATCACGGCAAACATGAAACATGTCAGTTGACCAGTTCAAGTAGTATAAAAACAAAATAATATTTGTCTTTGGTGAGAGAGTTTGCAAGAGGTACAATGTAAAGTAAAATACAGGAAAATGATGAAAATGTGGTCACGTTTGCCATTTGCGGGGTTAAAAAAAGTCAATCTAAAACTCTCTATTATCCAACTATTCAAGTTAGGTTACAAATAGCTTAGAAGAAATAGTGAAGCAGGTACAAATATCTTGCAATATTTGTACTGTAGGTTATTTTGTATAGTAAATAACCGGCTTTGAAAACTAGTATTTTTAAAGAATATTCGTTTTCAAACATTTTTGGGGAAAAATTAAACTCAGCTGGATAATAAATAACTCTAGACATTTAAGGGTAGAATACGAGTGGACATTTTTTCTCATTTTTGCATTGCAGAAATGAAAAAACATCCACCCGTATTCCACCCTAAAATGTCTAATAAGATCTATTTAATACCCAGTAAGGGCCCTTGTGTCCTATTTGCATTTGAACCAGTTTGGGCAAATCACATTAATAAATAAATAAATAAATAAATAAATAAATTCTGATAGTGTAATTAAATAGATCCCTTACATGTGATGTCAAAGCAGCTCAATAGACACCTTGCATGTGACGTCAAAGCAGCTCAATAGACCTCTTGCATGTGATGTCAAAGCAGCTCAATAGACCCCTTGCATGTGATGTCAAAGCAGCTCAATAGACCCCTTGCATGTGA